CCCGCCCTGCCTGCGCCACTGCTCTCAACAAAAGCTATGCCATGCAAAGAAAGCCCAATGCATTGTTACGCTGGAGCGCGATCGGGACGCAAACGGTGTCATTTGATGTCGGTCAGACTCAAGACCGAGCTCTCCATTCCACACCTAAGCCAGCGACTATCAAACCATCGTTTATTTGTCTCATGACAGCATATATCGGGCACGACAGGTTCAAACCGAACTAGATCGCAGGCCTAGGTGGCGAAGCAGATGTAGATGCTGACACGCGAACGTGCAAAAGCCATGAAATGTAGGCGAAAAGTTTCCAATTCCTTTGTTGCGACGTTTAAATTGATCACGCTTATCCAGCTCAACTGGCGAGACCTGTCGGAACTGGTAAGACCTGTTCCGACATTGTTCGATATAACACTCACGCCAATTGAGACAATTCTGGCAGTTACGATCGGAATAGAGCACGGTCCAGTGCTTAATCTCATCTTTATTGCGTGGGATCGCAGTAAGCGTTCAACATTTTCATCTAATGCAGCCTTGTAGTGTCCACCCCATGAAGGACCTCGCTCTACTTTCACAAGAAAAAAAAAACATCTGTCTCGTATTTCAGTCCAGGCGATTTCCTGCTTCCTCCCTGGTTAGTTTCATATTCGCCCACTACCAGCTCATGGCGCTAGCATACGGTCCGATTGCGTCCTGCTTTTTGTATGTGGTCTTGTGGCTTGTTTATCGGTTTGTTTGTCTTTTGTTGAGAAGAGGTGGCTACGGGAGAGCCGGCGCCCATTCTGGCAGCTGAGCGTGCTGTGCAGGGGAACAATGGACTCACCCCACCCACGGCCGTGGCCCGTGCAGACGGCACCGGGCCGGCCCCCGCAGCGGACACGAGGGGGCGCCACAGTCGACGCGGAGGGACACGTGGCCTCGGGGCGACCCACGCGTCCCATTTCAGCCGTCGGTGGGTGGTGCCGCCTGCCCGGAGCCGCATCGGTGAACAATGCAGACGCTGTTTACAGCGCGTGGTGTTTGTCATGAGTCTCTTCCGCTGTTTGCGTTAACTGACTTCAAGGATGATGGGGAGAGAATGCGACAATCCAAAGGTTGGGCTGGGAGGCACATATAATGCTGGTGCCACGATACACGACCAGAAGCTCGTCAATTAACACGCGTCATTAGGGCAGTTGATTGCTAGGAGTGAGGAAGGGTGCAAGTGTGACCTGATCAAAGCAGGGAACCTCCGATCAGCTGAAAGGCAGCAAGACGGCCATGGGCTGGACAAGTCAATGTGCACATGTGGTGTTCAGAGTTTTCAAGATCAGAAATGATTTTTCGAGGGACAAGGGAGACTAAAACGGTGAAAGGACTCTAACTGCTGAGATCATCATGGACCTAGACCCGGCCTGGGCTCCGAAGCCGTGTGCCCCTCCGAGACGGCCTGAGCCGTCAGGGCGATTCGAAGGCTCATGACGAATGGAGCATATACAAGACCTTCAGAGGGTTCTCTGAAAGCCACGATCACACCCCGAAGGTAGGACCCGACTCGGCGTTCTGACAGCGGTCAGGGCATCAATAAACAATCAAGCGCCCAAAACGCCGAAAAGACAGAGGCGCAGAGTGGTATGAATGTGATGCATGAGTGGCATGAACGTGATGACACCGGATGCCGCTTGGTTTACTGATGGCGTTCTTTTTGGTCGAACCATTTCAAGATCGTCTAGTTACGTGTAAACAGCACATTAACCTGCGCCGAACAGCTGATTTAACGTCCTTGCCTTCTCTGGTGGCCGAGATCTGACGTTAAATCCACAAAACTGCCGAAAACGGGCGATCTATGGCCTGCACGCCATCACATATGACGGAGCGCGGTCATCGAATCGCACGTTGTTCCAATAAGTCTGCCCTTTTCATTCTCCTTTTGTGTTGGCATAATGACTTCACAGCTCGTGGTCGACGAGATCTGGACCTGTTATGAGCCACACCGATTCATAGTCTCCCGTGGTAGTCGAATGGGCAGGGTGGAACAGAGGCATACTGCATTGTTGCAAAAATACACCAACTGGCACGAACAACTGTATGTAAATCCCTTGGAAGCATTGCAACACAACGTCCAAAAACTTTCAGCCCCACAGGACTGATATGAAAAATTTGCGTCACGTGTGGAATAATTGTTTGAACTATCGTCTCTGTCAAACTATATTTTGTATAAATACACTGAGTAAATGTGTTTTATCATTTACGCAACGTTTTGCCGAGATACCTTACGGCTATCGTCGGGTTATAAAGACTAGATGAAGCTTGGCTTTCAACTATGTACGCGTCACAGCTGGAACTGGAAATCAGAAGACCTTGATCAAATCAGATTTCACAATTCTTGATCAAATCTATTCACAATCAGAAGACCTTGGTTCAAATACCAGCTATTCCAAGCAGCGAATCTTATCATTTGAAGTAAATGTAATTGATTCAGTGAACTTCGCTGGATGTTGAAACATTACAGGATCTCTTACTATTTCCTAGACTCAGCACGCTGCCTGACGTTGGTAATTACTGGCCACGCACCCTAGACAAGATGCACTGCTGGTAGGATTCTGCAAGATTCTAGAGAACAGTGGGGCTCCACATACCAGTGAATCCTTGACAAAGGTTCAAGGCTTCTGAGGAGGTTATAAAAAACCCGCGACAGCCGAGGCGCCCGGACATCAATTAAAGCTCGCGCGCTCTAACTGGAGCGTTGTAGGGTATGTAGACGCCGTTGTGAAGTGTTAGGTTCGAGGCTTTCTATTAAATCATCCTTAACCAAATGATACGCTTAACCTAAGAGCGGCAACATTCAGATCTCGGGTCGCACAATAAGGATAGTGGACTACAATTCCTTTCGACACGCAGATATTTCCACAATCAAAATGGCAGAACATAGTCCAACAGCAAAGGGGCCGAACGTCGTACGATGATCATGCCCGTGCATGCACCTGCCTTCTAGTGTGCTGCTCTCAGGTCCCGTTGGTCGTATTCATGTATTTTGTGCCCTTCGAACGCTGTAGCTGGGACGAGTATACGCCGTGGCTATTTTGTTGTATTCATTTGCTTAGCCCATTGGCCATTGCGCTGCCTTCATCTTGACTGCCATCCAACCGAGATCATCCTTCATTCTCAGAAGAACACTCAACAATCCATATTTGATGGCTTTCACCAGCAGCCTCTGACTCTTGAGAACGGTCTAGACTGAGCTTAGATATGCCAGCTTGCAATGTCGGGCGATAAAACAGCGCATGTTTGAAAAGTAAATTGTGTGCAACGGAGACCAGTGAATTTACCTCGCTATTTGCCTGTCAATCTTAATCCCGTTTGTTTTTACATAGCATTGGGCTATTTTCTCTCGATTGTCCGAAGAGAACACTTAGGCATTTCAGGAAAAGTAAGATGTCAAAGATATCGTTTCCCTTCTTACGTAACAGGTATTTCCCGTTTCTACGATTATGTAACACGCATGCACTTTTGAAAAGCTGTAGCCTCTTTATGCCGTTGCTGACAGTAAGGAACATAGGGACATACGTTGAGCTTCACACCTCTCTCGTGGGGACCGAGTAAGCCCTGACTGCTGGCTTCGCCTCTTCTCAGCGCCAGGCCGAGGTTATCCAACAGCCGTTAGACGTACCGTTGCAGTATAAAACTGCGCGCGCATCGAATCTTATTCAGTGTCTGTCGTTCGGCTGCTGCGATCTCCATGCAACTGCGTCACGTATTTGGGATGTAGAACACCATACGCATTTTCACACGCAACATTAAGCTATTGTTTGTTTTTCCAATAATATCTGTATTTCTGGTCTTTACGACCATGTCTCGTTCAGCTTTTTTGATAAGGTACAGCGACCATCGAGGGAGGGGGGGGGGGGATTGAATGCAGCATTATAAGATAAGTCCAATGCAGTCAACCTTTCACTGCATTGCAAGTTCTTTCCATCTATGTCTTTGAGTCGTTCGAAGCACTTTATTCCAGGAATTTTAAACGTTCCCAGACAATTAGATCAGTTTCCTCGCGGGACGACGAAATAATTAGAATTCGCGTAGTCTGCTTCTATCTGTTTCCTTCCAGTGTTTTACTGCTTTTGGTCTCTATGCGTACCTGAGTTAATTCGTACAAGTTGCGCTGGCGCGCAAATACCGGCTCATCGGAGGCTCGTATATCATATGCATCGCTTAGACTTATTGGCTGGCTCAGACTTGACCTAAGGGGAAGCTGGTCGGAGCAACAGCATCAGCCTGTCCGAACGTGCCTCAACATTCAATTATCACCTAACATTTCGAGGCCAACAACAGGGAACTGAACTTTTCCACAGGGCCACAAAATCATAACACACCACAAACTTAAACGGGATGTCCATGCACCGACTTCAAGTGATCGGTTAACAAAATTCATCGCATTCTTAACGTACAGCGTAGCACTTTTTATATCATTTCATTTTCAGTGGTTTGCATGTGTGGCATGTGGTTCAGGAGCCCTTCTAAATATAATTTATAGCTCATACCCTAACCCACCACTCAAGTTGTGCCGTCCACTTCGACAGATAAGCTCGCTTCCGCCCTTCCGGCAGACAGGACCACAGCTTGTCGTGCCGCAAAGCGGTGCGGCATGGCCGCTCGGTTGGCCCCGGATGGCCAGCTGCCAGCTGACCTTTCCCAGTCAGTCGTAGCAATGCGTCCACTCTGCGACTCTTGCGCGGCGCCGCTGGATAACGAGTTCAGGTTGTTTCCCTGACCCCCCCCCCCCCCCGAACCAGTCCAGCTGACGGAGGCCAATGTGCTTATAAAACGCATCAAATATTTAGGCAACGTTGCAACTGTAACCGGAACATTGCGGAGCACGCGCCGCACCCGAGCGTTTATCCGCCGTTGAGGCAAGATTAAGTGTCACTTGGTCGTGTCGACTCGCTTATAAGCATTGGGACAAGGCGGCGGCTCCAAAACCGTTCAATCCTTTCCAAAACACATTCTGCTGACGTTGCCTCACTGACCTGTTCTCCTGGCAACAATACCCATGGCACGAGGTTGTCACCAGGCCCTCAACTCAGGAGACGGTGCCTCGGGCCACGTTGTCCGCGCTCGTGCGTAGCCTGCGACGGGGACCTCCTCCCCGGAAAACGGCCCGCCACCGACTGTCGTCCCATTGACGGCGACACCACTACGACACTTCTACACACCCGAGCCGATTCGCGGCGGCTCTGGGAGCGAAGGGGAGAGACGCGCACGACAAGCCGAGCGGCTCCCTGGTACGCCGAATTGGCTCGCGGCGACAGTGGCGACACCGGCTGAGGGTGGGTGAACGAACTGCGGGGAAGGCCTCGGGGGACTGGGTGGAGGTGTGCGGGGACGCTGAAATTGTACAGGTCTGGGGAGCCTGATGTGACTACCCAAATTAGAAGATGCTATAGTCAATGCAGCTGGCATATGAGCACAACTCGCCTCACCCGCGAATCTAGCCATTCTGTCGTTCGCGACCAAAACTGAGGCTTGCCGACTTATCCATCGGCCGCTCTCGCTCACTATCAGAGGTAACAACTTCTGATACTGAGAGGAATGATGTTCTCAGTGAGAAAAGTGCTTCTACCGTGGGTTAAATGTTTTAAAAGATCAGGACTTGAAGCTAAGAAAAGAATTTCACGACATTCAGCAAGACGCATAAAATGTCTGATAGGTCAGGCAGCATCATTATGCAACGAAGAGGTATAGTGAGCTCATTAACTGAGTTGGAGGCCAAGAGCTGAAGAAACAAGAACGTTTTATGCAAATTGTGCAAGAAATCATGGAACCGCCCGCCGTCCCGGCACCCTGTAACAAAATCAAAGAATAAAATCTGGAAAATATTCTAGTCGCTCGCCTATAAATGTCACCAAATGTCAGATACAGAAGTGTCCACAATGCACAGTTTGCAGAATGATCGGTACCAGCACTTCCGCTACTTAGCACGTTCCGCCCCCAGCCTGGCGATCAGTGGTTTCATCCTCTCCGTGTGATGCTCTGCTGTTTGGTCTGGTGTACGCTGTTCAGTTGCGGGGCGCCTGCAGGGTCCCCCCCCCCCCCCCCGGACAGCTCACCTGGCTGGAGAGGCAGGAAGCCGGTAAGGCGGTAACTCAATTATAGCCCTAATTTCTCCCCTTCGGTGCCGCCGCCGCCCCTCAAACGGACGACACTCGAGCGGCGACCCGGCAGACAATGAAGAGTGATCGCTCGCCATTGTTCCGTCGGGAAAATGATCAGCCGGAAAAATTAGCCGATGTAAAAAATAAGGACAGGCTGTGGCGCTTTGTGGCAGCGCCGGGCCGCGACGCTGCTATGGTGGCCCAGCCGGCCACTTACCGGCGGGCCCGCACAATGGCCACCATCCGCCGCGGAAATTAAAAGGTCATCAATTTGTCGTCGCGCTGGTGAAAACAAGGTGCGCGGGCGGGGAGGGGTGCGGGTGTCACTCGCTGTTCCGGCCATTACCGGGGCTTCTGAGGGGCCGGGCCACGTTCGTGCCGGGCAATTTTAGCGGCCACGTCTGCGGTGCCGCGGCCGTGGCCGAGTTACGAGAACAGGGGTGACGAGGGCGAAAACAGGAGGTGTCCTGCTGCCACCCGCCAGGCCGCGCCGGCCTCAGGTCGGTGCCGAGTCTGGGGACCCAGGTCGCGCTCGTGCACAGGTAAGGGGGATGCCCGATAGCCAGTGGCATGTCCGAACAGCGAGTGAAGGCTTCGGCTATGCCAGATATTTAGAATGTGGATCATTAAATCATCAATAATCATTGAATCGTTGAAACTGTTTAATTTTTATACAACATGTTAGCTGTGGAATGTTGGAGCGAAAACAAAGCACGAAACGCTTAGAACTCCTCTTCTGGCACAGCATTAAGAACTTCCGGTGCTGCACCTCACTTGGAGCGCGATAGAAAATGCAAGAACACTGGTCACTGCGGTGTTAAATGAGACAATGTCGAGCGTTGGTTACCCAGGTGACTCCGCTTAGCGGTCAAGTCGAACCAGTGATGTCAAGCCGGCACTATCGGTGGACCTGACCACGGATTATTTCTCGTCAGACCTGATTACCGGTGGTGTGGGGTCAGACCTGATCACCAATTGTGTCTGGTCAGACAAAATCACCAGTCGTGTCTCGTCAGACATAATCACCAGTTGCGTCTCGTCAGACATAATCAGTCGTGTCTCGTCAGACATAATCACCAGTCGTGTCTCGTCACACATAATTACCAGTCGCATCTCGTCAGACATAATCAGTCGCGTCTCGTCTGACACAATCACCAGTCGTGTCACGCCAGACATAATCACCAGTCGCGTCTCGTGAGAACTGATCACCAGTCGCGTCTCGTCAGACCTGATCACCAGTTGTGTCTCATCAGACCTGATCATCAGTCGTGTCTCGTCATGCATGCTCACCAGTCGTGTCTCGTCAGACATAGTCACCAGTTGTGTCTCGTCAGGCCTGATCAGCAGTTGCTTCTCGACAGACATGATCACCAGTTGTGTCTCATCAGACCTGATCACCAGTCGTGTCTCATCAGACCTGATCACCAGTCGTGTCTCATCAGACCTGATCACCAGTCGTGTCTCTTGAGACATGACCATCAGCAGTGCCTCATGGGACCTGGACACAGTGGCGCGGCGTTACGGAAAGTCGTCCGTTATCAGCGGGCAGAGCGACGCGTAATGCCTATTTAACTCCGAAGGCGGTAACACGCAGTAATGTTTTCACTTTGGTGAGCTTCGTGTTCGTGGGTGTCTAATTTCGAATTCATTTTCATTCCTTTTATCACCTTTTGTGGATTTTTTACGTTAAAGTTCGCAGATTTAAAGGACTGTTCCGGGCATTGCAGAGACATCCTCAAAGAATGAGCTTGTACCTGACATATTTATTTCGCTTAGATAATGGTGAACGCTTTACGTGCTTCTTGCGCGGTTCTGCGGGTGTCTAAGAGTCACGATATCGCACACGGGCAAAAAACTTTCGGTCACGTACCAGGTCACGGTGACGTTTTTTGAGAGCTTTGCCTGCGACTCTTTGACATTTTCTTGCTCTACCTTATAACAGCTGTTTATTTTTTGTCATGGTTCGTGCAGCCTCGCCGCTGGCGGTGCGCCGTCAGGCCTCGACGCCAACAGCAAGCCCTCAGGCCCGCCACGGCCAGGAGCTCGTCACCTTTTGCTCTGCTGGCGTCTCTTCAGAGCCGACAGCCGACTCCAGTCGACCAGAACCATTCATCACGGGACGCCGCGATGCGAGGCAGCCCCGAGCATCCCATCGATTGCCGCCGTCGGCCGGCCGCCGACGCCAGCGCCATCTGCGCCGGCCCGATTCGACACGCCTCGGCTCGCCGCGTGCCGTCGCGCGCGGCCGAGCCCGCGCCGCGACGCCTCACCATCGGCTCACACGGGTCATCGGTGACGACGCTCTGCGGACAGGACGACTCCGGCCACGCTGGACCGACTCTGAAGGATGGACCAGGGAATACGCGCCGATGTATCAGCCAGCGTCCGTCGGTGAAATCTTGGACAGGAGAGGCTTTAACGCGGTGACAAGATAGACCTGAACAGCAAGTGAGCAAAGCCTTCGCTGGTTGCCTGTGCTGTAAGAGGTTAGCGACCAGGATAATACCACTTTATGTCAATTGATGAAACATAAAATAAAAGCTTGGCATGAATATTGATAACTTACATTGCTGGCACATCATTTACACCTATCGGCATTCACACACTATCACACACCGAGTCCAGTATTATATCACACGAATACACACCATATGACATATTTGCACACCTTCTCGCGTCACACATTTACATATTTCCCGCTGTCATATCACATACATCACACATTTACACACATTACCATCGGCGCATATTACATTACTCGTGATTGTTAAGTGCTGTTGATAAGAATAAATGCTATCATGGTATTACATCGAGAATCTTCAACAATACGCTCACAATGCCTAAGCTCGAAGCTGAAGTTTATAAGTGTTGATATCAAGTAAGTTACAAAACAACGAATTAACGTAGAGCACATTGACATGTTTCCACGTTGGGGAAAATCCTTGCAGGTACGAAAACAATAGACTGTATAGAACGACTTGAAGCTAAGCTCGGTTTCATACGGCGGATATCGTGCCCCACCTAATCTCGCCTCAGTATGATCAAACACAAAACGCGCCTACATCGAAAAGTAGAGTGAACACGAACCTTTCAAAGAATAGGTTGCGGCAGAAGACCCTTACGCGGATGAATACTCAAGCGCGTCTGGTGAACTCCCGATCCAGATCCGGCCGGTGTCAGCTTTTGAAAGAATCGGCACTTCACCTATCATGGTGATATCATTATTAATTGCATTGAAGGGCGCGGCCACAAGTCGCTCGCGTACCGTTACGTCGTTCCAAAGGGCGCGCGTCTGAGGCCTGTCTTTGGGTTCATGAAACGTATGCAATTTCTCTTTTGCAAGATCAGAAACCTAAAGCAATTTGTGACAAATCTTGTTGTGTTCTCGGTCGATGAGCAGCCTGACCAGCTTACAAACATTGTCAGTTTATCAATCAACTAAAGTATCTCGTAGGTGCACAGCTGTATTATCTTTATTGAAGCTGCAGTTAACAATCTCCAGTTAAGTTATCAACTCACACGGCTGCTTATGTAATCACCGTCGCCATTTTTTAGGCCAGAAATCCTTTACCGCCGCTGAAACATGTTCACGTGTACTTTTCTTTGTTATTATGGCAGTCAATATCGTGTTTTTTTAAATGCTTCATTTCAGGGTGCAGCACGCATAGAAGGTCTTTCTTTATTTTAAGGGGATGCAGCTTCGCCCCAAAGCCTATGTAAGGAAGTAAGTTTATGACATTGCATGGAAAATGTCCACCAGCAAAAGCTCTCTGATTTCTGACTTTTGTTGAAGCTCCGCTTATGGTAGCACGGCAGGGGCATAGTTATATATGCTTATATCAGGTGTGCCTTGCCCCAGTGACATAGCCATGTTTGAGACATGATTAGAGTAGCCATTTTGCTCATTTGTTTTCTCTTCTTCGTCACAGCTTTTTTGTGTAATTGCATTTGCCTTATTATCCACACTGTCACTCGTGCGACCTTCATATCACTGTCCACTTGTCACCAG